CATAAGAAGTACTTCATATGAAGTAAACCCTTATATGCAGATTGCCACCAATTCGGAACCTATCCATGTCTCTTCTGTTGCCTAATCAATCTTAAACACTGTCGCCTGAGATTTAATCTGCCACCTCCCCAAATTTAAGGCGGAGGTCTTTAAAGAGTGCTCTCTTAAACTAAAATTAAAACAATGGCAAAAAAAGAAGGCAAAACTACTTACAAAGACCAAGTGTAAGAAACTAAAACTGTGTAGCATATTGTTGATATAACAGTTCGAACAGAGCAAAGAAAAAAGGAACAACAAAGCAAAATAAAAATACAGAAGTCTTTAGCAAATTTTCCATTTCTTTTCTAGGTTATCGTTGCTCCGCAACAATGAACATTGAGATCAATGATTTTCTCAAATGTTGTGGGAGGAATGTCAATGATTTGTTTTTAGTATTTTTTTAGTGTCTTTCAATATTTTTAAATCAATAAAAATCAATGGATTTAAAGAGAAAAAATTGAATATTAATGAAAAACAAAAGTTTGGCATTTGAGCAGTTTTAGTTTGGGCGCAGAAAATACATGAAAATAATTTTATTGGAATCAATAATAAAAAATGCTATGGAAAAGATAAAATGTTGTTGTTGTATATTGTTGACCTGTTATTTTACTTATTTGGTTAATTGCTTGGCTTAAGGTCATTAAAAAACTATGTTTTTATTTTTGAATTTTTCCTTTTTTATTCATCCAATATTTCGATTTCCTCCGGAAATCATCTTCAGGGATCTGTTTTACAAAAAACACAAATTACAAACTGATTTTAACAATATGTAACACAATAAATAACATACATTTTTAAAGTAAAAAGCTCGTCTATTGAGTTTAAATGTCACTATCAAACTAAGTTTTGTTTCGTCGGTGTTTATGAACTAGGCTTCTGTAAATGTGAGCACAATGGTCTGTATCGGTTTTATAATTAATTCGTTTGTCATTTGGTAAACTTATAATATGTAACATTTCCAATGTAAATCGTCTTTTGTAATTATTTTCTTGTGCTAATATGTCGACGGTTTTAAGGTCGGGTTTATGTCCTGTCAATGTGCAATGGGCAGCTAAAGCAGTCTTCTGTTCGAGAGGCTTGTCACTTTTTTGATCCGATTTATGTCCGGAAAGTCTTGTTTTTAATTTCGTCTTTGTCGTACCGACATATGACTTTTGGCATACGTCAGCGTCGTCCCCATTACATGTTATCCTATAAACTACATTGCACTTGTCCTCATTCTTAATTTTAGATTTTGTTTTACTAAACAGACTGTCGACATTATTACGAGATTTAAACGCTAATTGATAGTGGTCCTTATTGTAGATGTTTGATTTACCAAGTCTTTCTGAGAATCCCGGGATGTAAGTAACAGCTTTATATATCTTTTCTTGTCTTGCCTCCTTTATTTGGTCCGTTTTTGCGTGTATAATTAGGTCGTCAATGGTGATAAAATATTTAAAAACTAAAATTTTGCGAAATACATGAATATCGTATTATGTGAATGAGATTCCCGCATTAGCCCATGATTTATTACATTGGTCAAACTTAGGCCGGGTGATAAAATTTTCTTTTAAAAATATTTCCTCAGGCGTTTTCTGACCAAATATGATTTTTTTAATATTCTTTAGGGATGTCATCACATAATTTTTCAGTAACGTCCGGGGTGGGAATCATTGATCATTAAGAATATATTTGCAAGCTACTTCTGGGTAAAAAAGGATTCAAACCCTGGATTTTTAAAAAATATTTGGATACGCTTGGTATAAATCGTCAATATTTTTTTAAGAAATATTTAACAAAATATCATTTTTATATCATTTATATTAACTTTGTCATTCCGTTTGTAACACCTCGAAATATAGATTTTAGATCCAACAAAGTATATATATTCTTGATCTGCATAAAATTCTATGTCGATTTTACAGATGTCCACACGTCAGTCCGTCTGTGGAAATCACTCTAGTTTCCGAACGAAATAAAGTAGATTGATAACAATTTTACTCAAATGTATATTATGTCTGCAGGACTTTTGGTATTGAAAATGGGGCCTTGTAGGTTCACGTTTTGGTATTGCCGCCATATAACGGTACCTCCCGATATTCGGTATTTAAATGATTTTAACGACATTATTCACCGGAATTGTATAAAATTTGGTATTTGAAGTTTGTAATGGATACTACAGCCTAAGACCGAAAATTGTCTGTGCAGGTCCACGTCTTCGTCTCCATATAACGGTACCTCCCGATATTCGGTATTTTGATGATTTTGGCGACATTATTCACCGGAAATGTTTCAAATTTGTTGTTTGAAATTCGAAATGTATAGTACAGCCTAAGACAGAAAATTGTCTGTGCAGGTCAACGTCTTCGTATAGCCCCAATATAATGGTACCTCCCGATATTCGGTATTGTGATGATTTTAGCTACATTATTCATTGATGTTTTTAAGTTTCGCATTTGAATATTGTAATGGCTTATGACAAAAGTTACCTATGCAGGTCCAAGAATGTATCGTCGTATGGACCCTAATGTAACAGCTACATTCGGTATTTTTGAAGTTTTAGCAGTATTTTCAGCGGATTTTATTGTTGGAGGGTATTCAAAGTTCGGCCCGGCTGACCTTACAGCTTTTTTATATGTTTAAATAATATTTTTAATACGATTTTTAGGCTGCAGATTTTTAATACTTTATTCCGTTTAGCCGAACATTTTTTGAGGACAGTAGTGGTGGATTTTTCAATATGAATCTAAAGTAACTTCTGGCATAGACGTTGTTAAAATATTAAATAATAAGTGCCCGTTATTTCGTCAACCTAAAAATTTTAGATTCCTTCTAACAGTTCATATTCGGTCTTTTTTAACCAAAACTGCATATATCGTACTAAATTTTCAAACCTTTAAGGTTTTAATATATTATTAAAGTTTTTCTTTGTCGGAAAGAATAACAGGATTTTTTTCCTTTCATAACGACTGAGGAGGATATTAGTAAATCCATTGCATAATGGACTCCCAGCCAATTCTTTATCCAAAAGTATTTCAATGTCTCTATATGTAAACTCTAGAAACCAACAGTGAACTCAATATCAAATGTCAGAATTTCATTTTGGCATTTTGCACTTTTCGTATGTATTTTCAAAACAATGTCCAATTCTCAACCTCAAATACAATAATAACATTGCATTGCAATTCAAGATTTCAGCTCATTATCAAACTTAGTACCATTTATCCGATTATCATTGTAATCCGCATATCCAAAAACCAGCAACTTTTCTCACAGACGTCAACAGAAATTCAGCTCCATTTCTTCACCCAATACCAAATTAGGTTCTATTTAGTACTTTTCGTACGATTATAGTACACATTTCCAATCTCAATTCGTGATGCCATCAGAGCACTCAAAATTAAATTTCGGAATTCTAGCACTATCCATTTACCTAATACCAAATTTAGTACCACTTAGTACTTTTCGAACAATTATAGTACACATTTCCAAAACCACCTCCATATTTCAATTTTAAATACCAACGGAGACCTCAATATTAAATCTCAGGATTTCACCTTTTTCTTTTTACCTAATACCCAATTTATTACCACTTAGTACTTTTCGAACAATTATAGTACACGTTTCCAAAACTACCTCCATTTCTTAGGCACAAACACCAAGGATTTCAGGATTTCAAATCAATTCCTTGACCCTATACCAAATTTGGTATTATGTAGTAATTTTCGTACGAATATAATACACATATCCAAAATTACCCCCATATCTCAATTATAGATACCAACAGAGGCCCCAATATAAATTTTTAGGATTTTAGCTCTATTCCTTTACCCTTTACCAAGTATAGTATAGTATATTATAGTTTCCTGTCATAGAATGTGTTACCCATTACAAAATCCTCATAACCTATTTAAAAAAAAATGCGTCGAAAAATGTGCCATAAATTGTCAAAATATCGAATGTCGGTAGGTACATTTATATAGTGGCCTATATTGATATTTTTTCTATCGGAAAAGATAGTACCTACTGTGAATATCAAAATATCAAATATTGGGAGATACCCTTATATGGGGGCTATACGAAGACGTGGCCCTGAATAGGAGTAGTACCTATAGTACCTATAAAGAACTCCAATTATCTAATATGAAACAATTCCGAAGAAAGTGGGACACAAGTCATCAAAAAACCCAATATGTGGAGCTACGCTTATTTGACAACTATACCGAAACTTGGACCTATATTGGCAGTTCCAGGCTTACATGCTTATAAACTCCAAATTTCCAGCTAATTAATTTGAAAATTTTGACTAGAACACCCAGAATAGAACATCTTAACTCTGCCGTTACAGTTATATCGAGCTCTACCAATTTGTAGACCTATATGAATAAAATTTAATTCAAAATCAAAAATTTCCTTAGGTAGGCCAAGGACTTGGCTAAATCGACCTAAAATCTTATGCTGATCAAGAATATATATACTTCCTAGAGTCAAAAATGCATATTTCAGGGAGTTACAAACCGAATGACAAACTAAATGCCATAATATGGCAGAGGGTATACGAACATTTTATACCTATGTGACAATTTTTCCCCATTCGCGGTATTTGTCTTTAGTCTTTGAATTCTGAATCGATGTATATGAAATAAACCAGCAACAATTTGTTATACAAATCCCAAACGCTTGGGAATGGCTCTCTTCTCATTAATATTTTGTTTTTCACTTTCAAATTTAATAAAAATTCCAATTACAATAATTCCATGAAACCGACAAACTTCCCTGTCATATTTCAACATTTTTTTCCTAACACCTCAAGAAAAACTTAATTAAAAATCGAAATCCAATAAATTTCCCCATTAAATATTCATAAATCTGCAAAATATATAAAAATTTGTTTTACATTCTCAATAAAAAAATTCATTTTGATTTATGGCTTATATTTCATTGCTGAATTGGTTTTTTCTTTTCTTCTTTCTTTGCAGTTTATTAAAAACGGATACTAATGACGTGTGGTGAATATACAATTTATTGGCAACAAATGGTTCAAATCAACAACAACAACAGCAACAAACGTAACAAACACGCCAAGAAATTGCAAAGAATTTATTAAAAAAAAGGAGGATACCCCCGAAGAGAGAACAAAAAAAAAAAAAAAGAAAACTTCAAAACAACAATATATTTTTTTCTGTGGAGGATAAACCGCAAACACCTACTGAATAGGAAAACAAAAGTTTTTTACAAAAAGAAAAAGAAATAGCAACAACAAAATAGGGAAAACCCAAATTGCTTACACAAAATGAGAAAAACAACGAAAAGAAAAGCGGAAACGAAGGGACAAGCCGAACAACAAACCAATAATATAAACCAAATAGATACAACCGCCACAACCACAATGGGTGTAAATTTTGAATGTTATCAACGTTTGCAGGAGAGCTTTACGCCCGGATTGGTGTTGGAGAAGGTGGAAGATGTCGAAACATGCCATGCCACAGATATCAACTCCCACAGCCGTCATCGACAAACAAAAGAAGAAGAAGAAGAATTGTGTCATAAGCAAATGACAGCAACAGCACTTGTGGGTTGTCTACTGCCAACACAATCCTGTAAACGACAACAACATGGCCACAACAGCAGCAACAACAACACCCATAAAAGCCCAAAAGAATGCACTTCACTGTTCGGTCCCTTGCATTGTTCCCGACAATGGCTAATATTGGCTTTGCTGGCATTGTCGCTGTGTTTACTTGCGGTTCCCGTTAATGGCCTGGCAAATTGTCCCAATGGCTGCCAATGTGACGACGATACTCTGGTGGTCAAATGCGGCGAAGGCACTCTCGATGTGCTACCCATTGCCCTGAATCCGTCCATCCAACGGCTGGTAATCAAAAACAATAAAATCAAAACCATCGATTCGAGCATTCAATTCTATGCCGAGCTGACGTTCCTCGACTTATCCTACAACGATTTGGTGACCATACCCCAGAGGACATTTGCCTTCCAACGCAAATTGCAGGAATTGCATTTGAACCACAATAAGATTGGCCAGATCAACAACAAAACGTTAATGGGCTTGTCGGCGGTGACCATTTTGAATATAAGGGGCAATCTCTTGGCCGAATTGGAGGATTACACATTTGCACCGCTGCTCAAGGTGGAGGAATTGAATTTGGGCCAAAACCGCATAAGTCGCATTGCTGCCCATGCCTTTGATGGCCTGAAGAATTTAAAGGTGCTATACTTGGATGACAATACGTTAACATCAGTGCCGGCACCAGAAAGTTTCCAGGCCATGCCAATGTTAGCCGAGCTGTATTTGGGCACCAATTCATTTATGTCCATACCCAATAGGGCCTTTGAGGATTTGAAGGGTTTAACCCGTTTGGATTTGAAGGGAGCTGGTCTACACAACCTCTCACTGGAGGCCATGAAGGGTTTGGAGGGTGTTCGTTTTCTGGATCTCTCCGATAATCGTTTGGAATTTATACCCCAAAGTGCATTGTCACATTTGGAAAGGCTGGAGGAATTGGCTTTGGGACAAAATGATTTTGAGTCAATACCCACAAACGCTTTGGCCGGATTGAAAAATCTCAAACGTTTGCAGATTTCCGGAGCCCAAAAGTTGCAGAAGGTGGAAAATGGTGCCTTTTCGAGCAACACCAATTTGGAGTATTTGAATTTGTCGGCAAACAAGTTATTGGCCGAAATCGAGGAGAATGCCTTTAGTGGGTTGCCACATCTGAAACATATCATTTTGAAAGAGAATCAAATTACCACCTTAAATGAGGGCCTATTTCCTTGGGCAGATCTGACAACTTTAGATCTTTCCGATAACCCTTTGATATGTGATTGCCGTTTACTGTGGCTGCGCACCTTGATTATCAACAAAAACAATACCAATGAACAGATACAGGGTGTGGTATGTGCTGCCCCTCCCAATGTCAAGGGAGAGCCGTTGAACACCTTGAGTCCGCCCTTGCTGGGTTGCAGCCACAGCAGTCCCAATCAACAGGCTTTGATAAGTATTCTACTGGTAGTCACAGCTGCGGCTATTACCGCCTTGGCTTTGATTATATATTCCTGTCGCCGTCGAATACGTGAGGTGCTCAAGGGGGGTTGGGGCAACTCTGCGCTGGGTCGCAAAGAACGAGAATATCAAAAGACTTTCTCCGAAGAAGACTACATGAATCGCCATCCACAAATACCCTGTGCCATGAGCAGCTCTGCACCCTATTCCACTACCACAAGTGGATATGGTGGCCAACATGCCTTGCAATATATGGGATCCCGACCAATACCCGTTACCGAACTATAGCTAGAAGCACCACCCCCACCTCAACAAAGAGGTCGGGGATCGGCCACAAATGGCACCGTCAGCAACTGTAACACCCTACAACAACTGAAGGTGCCCAATGGTACATCCATGTACAATGGTTGTGGTCCTCTACCCGATAATCAAAACTCCTTTGTCAATCAGCTAAATCAAATACCCTTTATGACCAATAACACACCGCGGCCGTACAACTACCAATCGCAACAGGATATGCGCAAGTTGGCCAATAATAAAAATTCCACAATCACCTCATTGCCAAGACACGGACAAACGGCAAATTGGCAACAAGAAAGTTCTCTGACACAAAATCACATCTATTCGCAGCCCATAACCGCCAATGGTGTGGCCTATGTTACACCAAAGTTCAATACAACCGATCGTCATATCCGTCTGACCCAGGATCATTTCAATCACAACAACTCGCTGAAATATCCCCAACAATATTCTCACAATGGCAGCAATGCCCTCGATGATGAGGATGGTGATTATTTGCACAACAATTCGCATTATTCCTTGCCAGTGGATCACAATAATGATGCTAGTCCTACATCAGAATCCCCGATACCGCCCACACCACCGCCGCCGGCCTTGCCACTACGCAATGGTAGTTGTAACACTACTGGACGTAGATCAACCTTTAGTTCTTTGAATGGTAACTCACAACAGCAGCAGCATAATCACATAAATAATAACAATAATAGTAGTGTGGCAACTCTGCACAAAATTACAACTCTGCATAATAACAATAACAACAACATCAACACCGGCAGTCTCCGGCATCAGTATCACTGATATTCATTGAAAAAATGCCATGAACATGCCGCGAACGCGGCCACCGGTTCAAGGTCTGAGAAATACAATTGGTTGAATAGCATGAAACGGGAGGGCAATGCGGGCCGCTTTGAGACCATTGAAATGACAGCGTTTTTACATTAATTGAGTGGCATTAGAAATGGGAAAAAGTTTTAATATTAGAAATATCTTTATAAGAAAAAAAAAAAAAAAAAAAACAAAACTTGCAATTTAGTTAGGAAAATCTTTGTTTAAATTCAGTTTACTTTTCTCACTGGGAAAGTTAAAACAAAAACTTGAATTTTAAAGACACAGTCACACCAGTTAGCTTTGGTTATAAGAAGACTATGAATATTAGTTAATTTTTTTTTTTTAATTCAAAGGAACCTTGAAAATTCTCTTCCAGGATGTAGTATTTTTTATTGTCTACAAAACTGAGTTTTCCTAATGATTTTTTCAGAGCAAAATTAATTTTTTCCAGAGAGCGAGCAAAAAAATAGAAAGAGAACATTTAATTGAAAAGGATTTCCTTGGATCATCGTCACAAAAATCCCGGTCTTTTATTCTGTATAAAAATATTTTATTTGGAATTCTTCCACTATAGGTGCGTAATTTGCTTGGGTCTTTTGGTTTCCTTCATTATTCGAAAAGAAATTTGTAAAATGTTCGAATAGTTTTGGCATTTTAGTTCATTTATTTTCGTTCAGTTCTTGTCATGGAACTGGTTCCCTAAGTTCATAGGTTCAATCACTTGAAGTATCACTCTATCAATGACGATCAGCCACTTACCAGGAGAAGAAAAAGGTTTTGTGGTTTATATCAACATCCAAAATTACATTGTCGAATATTCTACTAGTTTCAAGTATTAGAGGTATTTTTTATCATGCAACTAGTTCCCATAGTTTATCAGTTCAATCGATTGAAGTAAGGGAACGTAACAAAATGTAATATATTGAAGCAAGTTTTTAATACTTGATTGAATGATTCTGGTGGAATTTATGAATATGGGAAGTTAGGGTTTATAATGACAACCCGACCTTTTTTTAAATTGGTTTATCGAAATTCTTTTAATGGGGATCCTCTATTTACCAGGAGAAGATATAGTTCTTCGAGTTTGCATCGCCATCCGAAATGACATTGTTAAATATCGTGGTAATTTTTGTCATTTTAGTTCTATCTTTTTTCACCATGGAACTAGTTCTATTAGTTCACTAGTTCCATCGTTTGAAATAAGGGAATGTAACAAAATAATTGAAATTTATTCTCGTGAAATTTATTAGAATGCGAAGTTAGACTTCGTATTAATCAGGAGCTCCGTTCTTATTGAAATATTTTTTTACAGGAATATTCTAGAAGTTTTTTGCATTTTTGTTCCGTTTATATAATTGAACTAGTTCCTTTAGTTCACCAGTTCAACTGTTTAAACGAAGGAATTGGAATTACCTTTGCGAGGCAAAATTAATATGAGCGCAAAAACCTTGACCTCAGAACATTATAATATTGTATAGGGAAAATGTATTCTAATTTATTATATAACCAGTTCTCCAAAAGAAAGTGGGAGTTAACACAAGTTTTTTAAAAATTCAGTACAATTTTGAAATGAATTTTGGTATTTGTCAATAGACCAGAAAATAGTAATTGATATTCTAGTCCAGCAAGAAAATCGTTCTCTTTGTAGTTGAACTCATTTTACTGAACTAGTTCGTTCTTTTAGATTAGTTTCTAGTTCGTCGGACAGATTAACTAAATAAATAGTAGGGATTACCGATTTCTTAAATATCCATTACGATTTTGAAATACATTTTTGTTTTTGCCAATGAACGTATGTTTATTTAATTTCACTGAACTAGTTCATTCTCTAAGATCAGTTTCCAGTTAACCTACATAAGGAAACGGTAAGATCTTACGGCATTCTTCAAGTATATTTGGCAATATACGTAAGAAATAGGCCTTGATACTTTAGTCCTGCGATGAAATCTCGTTGCTTTGCTTTTCACGACGCTTAAAATCCATTTCCATTTTATTTCGCTGTAAACGATCCAAACAAGTTTGAGAAATGTTCTTGATCGTCAGTTATTCCTTTCAGTGAATCATCCAATTGAACTAGTTGAATTGGACTAATTGCAGAACTCGTGTTCCAAATCATTTTTCAAGAAATTGTTATGGCGAAATATTTAACGGCGTTTAGTAATTTCTGATCGAAATCGTCGTACCCGATCTTCTTGGAAAGCTTCAAATTATCCCGAAACAAAACGAAATATTGCGAAAATGGTAAAGGAACAAAGTTCTAATGGACTAAGTAAGGCAACTAGGTTAGTCGATCTTTTCAGTGAACCATAAAATTGAACCAGTTGAACTGAACTAATTGAAGAACTCACATACCAAGTCATTAATCAAGAAATTGATATTGAGAAAAGTGTTAACTAGGACTAATTCCGCCTGATTGGAAACGTCCACCTCCAACATACGAAATTAAAATTATCCCAAAAATTTATTTTATTTGATCGATATGACAGAAACCTAAAAATTCACCAGCACGAGATATCCATCTACCCCTTCGAATCCATAATGGGAAATTGTAGAGCGATCGGTTGTTAAATTTAGCTACGATCTTAAAAATAACAGCAGCTCATTCTCTGCCTTAGATCCATGACAAATTTGTGCTAGGGCTTTCAATAGAATTAAGTCATTGGGGAAGAACTAGTTCGAAGCAACTATTTCGCAAATGGAAAAATCGGAACAATTTTCAGCTCCTTCGCGATGTGTAGAATATTTGCACTTGAACGAAGGACTGTCGTAAAAGGTTAGACAGAACGAAACGGAATGGCAGAATGAAAATGAACGATTGAGCTGAAATGAACAACTGAACTAAAATTAAGTATGGAACTAAATGAACGAACTAGTTCCTCTTGACGGAAGGGACGAGAAAGATCGAACAATCAGAGATATATTCAACTCTTTCGAAAGATCAGCAGAACAAAACGCAAGGCTAAAATTGATACAAAAGATTGATCTGAAATTTTAAAACTGAATTAAAAGGAACTAAGTGAATGAACTTGTTCCCTTTCGAAAAATCAGCAGAACAAAACGGAAGGCTAAAATTAATACAATTGAGCTGAAATTGAACAACTGAACTGAAAGGAACTAGATAACGAACTAGTTCCTCTTTAGTACTACTGATTGATAACTCCAGATATCAAAGTATCAATTTTCAGCCAGGTCCTGTGAAACACTAAAATACGCAAACGTCATTGATATTTTTTCTTAAGACGAATTTTAATTTATTGAGAACCCAAAATGTCAATTTAAAGGTGATTCGGTTGGGTGCAGTGTCATGAGGTATGCCAATCAGCCGAATAGTATTAGTTCGGCCAGTTTTTAGTGAAGGAAACCTGTGAAAATATGGCTAAAATTAATGATAAGCCATTGCAGACCTCAGGTTATTGTGCCTAAGTTTTCACTTCCCCAAATAAAAAAGTTCTCTAATCATTGATCTAAAAAATGGATCCGAAATCAAAGACCTAAAATAGTAAAGACTGGACAAAATGCATTATGGAAAAATAGTTAATGTGAAATATATATAGGGGCGCTGCTCACAACAGTGACATGTTAGCATAAAAATCATACTTACAGAGCAATTTTGAGAATAACATTCTCTGTAAACCAAAATTTTGGACTAAAAATTGCATTCCATTGACGTTTTCAATTAATTGAAAATTGCATTTACTGTTAAAAAAACTTAACATTGGTGATTATGTTGTTAAGATATCGTAACAACAGAGGTATGTACACCTGGTGACAATATTTTGAGTCTGTCTTGTCCCATCTTTATACTCTATGTCTTTGCCGAAATTCTCTCAAGCTTACTATCGCCTCTAGTATAGATCCAATTTTCTTTTTGACTTTAGGCCTTTTCCATGTTGCTGTTAATATTTTGTCACAGATCAAAGGATTATTATTAACGATAAGCCATTGTAGATCCCTGGTTATCGTCTTTTAGTTTCGCAAATAGAAAATGTTCTCCAAGTCTTCATCTGAAAAATGGATACGAAGTTCTCTCAAGCTTACTTTCGACTTTATTCGATAGTAAGCTTACTGTAGATCCAATTTTCTTTTTGACTTTAAGTCTTTTCTATTTTGGTGTTAATATTTTTTCTTAGATCAAAGGAAAACTCAATGGCCCTAGCAGGAATAACTCAATTATATACATTCTCCTTGTCACCGTTCAAAACCTATACCCAAGCATTTCCAAAAACGTAAAATCTTTCCCGGCTAACTTTGTGCAGAGTTGTACTCCATTTTCAGTTTTGCAGATTTGCCCATAACTATCTATTATTTTCATTATTTGTTTGATGATACTAAATTATTTTGTTTAACAAAAAAAAAATACATAGACCTTTCTGTATATTATATTAGTTTATTTGGTAAATCAAACATAAAACAAACCTTTCTCTATTCTATATATATATATATAAAACATATATAAATAATATATATTTACTTTTCAAATTACAAGAAAGAAAGAAAAAAATAAGTAAAAAATCAATTTTTTATGATATATATATGTATTAAAATATTTAACTCCAACAACAAAACAATTATGATTTTTGTAAAAAATTTAAAAATACTGAAACAAATTGTGTATATACTCGTATATCTTTAAATTATATAACAAGGAAAAAATATTAAAAATAAATTCTTTAAATGGTATGGAAATAATATTTAATAGCTATAAAAATCAAATTTATTGTATTTTACAAAAAGACAACAAGAAAAACAAATTAAAACAAAAAAAAACAACAACATATAAACATGTATACAGAAAACGTAAAAAAATAAAAATTAATATATAATATAAAACAACAACAACAAACCAATTCCAAGTGATTTTAGTTTAAGTTTAATGTTTATGACATGTAAATAATATTAACGATTAAATTATAAAAATTATCGATAATAAACGAAATCAATAAAAAAACACATTAAAAATTATTATAACAACAAAAAACAAAAATACAAGTGTATAAAATACATTACATATTAATGGAAATCTAATTACACCCAACAAAAGGGAAATTTTAGTGGAGAATGTGTACAAAATCACACATACAAAGATTCACACATACATCCAAAATCCCTAATGGCCATTTTAATGGTAGGTAAACTGACAAATTACAGACCAATAACTTTGTGTGGAGAATAAGAGGAAACCTAGGTTATGATATGTCCTAATAGAGAGAAAAGCACTTCTAAGAGGTTAGATTCAAAACAAATACACGCATTCCTTTATGATATATTTTGAATTCAGTTTCTCTGGGATTATTTTAGTTTGTTTGCTAATTACGTTTTTTAATAAACTTACATTTGAATCGCAATTATAAATTATGCTGATTTTTTGAAAGTTTGGCGTCGAAACGACGGCGATGCGTTTTTATATTGAAGAGGATTCAGCAGTAATTAACCCAAAGTAGCATATCGCCGAAGGGTTCTATAAATATAAAAAATCTTCAAATTACAGACTTGTCCCGAAATAGTGGCGTTGCGTACACAGGGTGTGATAAAAGAACTGCAACAAAGTCAAACGACGTAATTTTTACATTTATTTTTTAATTTTATTGAATGAAAGCAAAAATGTCGGGAATAGCATTAAATGTTAGAATAAGTTTAGATTTGTTCGAATTGTTCACCTTTGTCACGAATTATGGCCTTCAAACGGCCAATGAAACTGTCACACGCTGCCCGAATGTTGTTCTGCGGTATTTTGGCCCATTCTCGGCGAAGCGCTTGCTTGAGGTGATCGACACTTTGGTATTTTTTAGTGCCAACCTTGCAATCCAAAATACTCCAGAGACAATAGTCCAACGGATTGTTATCCGTGGCCATTGTGCGCTAGAAATGAAGCATTCTTGGGTGGCGCGTGCTGAGTCCTGTTGGAATGTCCAAGGTCTGCGGCCAAAATGTTTGCGTGACCAAGGCTTTAATACACCCTCCAGAATACTTTCGCAATAATATTCGGCATTTATTCTGATGCCACAATCGATTAATAAAAGCGGAGACCGACCATCGGCTGTTATGGCGGCCCACACCATCATCATGGCCGGCGCTTGAGTTCTGGTGGCCAACCGAAGGTGCACATTTTCAGCTGACCTCTTTGGCAAGTAAACATGATCATATTGTTTGTTTACAAATTGCTGGACAACGAATGTTTTCTCATCGGAGAAAATCAAATTCGGCAGTTCACCACTTTCGGCTAAGCGAAGCAACTCTTTAGCTCTTTTGAGTCTCTTTTCTTCTTCCGATTTCAATTTTATGTCATAGTTATGTCGTTCTATAGCATTGGTATATGACACAAGAGGCACAAAAGCCTCAGTCAGATTTAGTGGAAATAGATTCAGGTAGGTTATTCTTCCTACACAATAGTTCCTTCGATTTCTAAATATAACTAATAATTATTTCGTATGATCTACTCTGTATAAATTCCCAATGTAAATGTTTGTTTATTACGGGCATCTCTTCTAAACATGCGTAGTAGTGTAGGGTATCATATAGCTAGCTCGACCGACTTTTGACTCTTCTTTACCGGTCTGGCATACATTTTGGTTCTTTTAATTTTCTGACGAGCCTAAAAGTATGCAATTGTTTGTAAATTCTCTATATATATAAAATGGACCATATATAAAATTTGTCAGCATTTGATATATTCGTCGGACCTCTCATACACACTTGCTATAATCTTCCAATTCTGGTGTGTGGGAGCCCACAGGGTCACTTCGAAAATTGATTTTATAGCGGTAAACATAGAATACAATCCGAGTTTCTTGGATTTTCAATGTTAAATGAGTACAACTTCAATTTTTAACACCGGATTACAATTATTTTTATACCCTACACCACAAGGTGGTCAGGGTATTATGTCTTTGTGCATTTGTTTGTAACAGGCAAAAGGAAACGAGAAACGAGATTGAAGATCTGCATAGAATCATATTCTGAGTCGATTTATGCATGTCCGTCCGTCTATCCATGTATTTTTGTGAACAAAGTACAGTTCGCATTTATTACTCGATCCAGATTAAATTTTGCACAAATAATTTGTTTGGCCCAAGGACGAACCCCATTGAAATTGGAGATAATTGGTCAAAATTTAGATATAGCTTCCATACATATCTTCGTCCTATCTGCCTTTTATTGTGCACCAAACGTGTAATATCAGCCCGAATAGTATGGAATTTTGCACATACAACAAAATTAGTCCTGAAAATGAGTAGGCCAAATTTGATCGAAATCGGCTCAGATATTGCTATAGCTGCAATATATTTTGTTCGTCCGATTTGTTATTTTAGTCCTCCGCAGCCGTAATATGCACTCTGTAATAACAATATTTGGGGAAGTATATCAAATACAGCTTAGAAATACCTCTGCTACATTTTATCGAGTTCAGTTCAGATTTGGATACATCTCCCATATATAACTTCGTCCGATTTACCTTTTATTGTCTAATATCGTCTAATATTTGCTCAAATGGGATGTGATAATATAATCATAGCGTGTATGATTGAATTCCCCCAAAAAAACTTTTAATTGTTATGTGGAGCTCTACTAAATTAGCAAAGTGGTGTAGGGTATCATAAAGTCGGCCCCGCCCGAATTTAAGACTTTCTTTACTGTATTTTTTTTTTTTTTTTTTTGAAAGGGTCGAGTGGTATCTTTCAAACAAATCAAAATCGTTGAAATCGTTTAACAAATTTTAAATTGACAGTGATTTGAATGTTAAAAAAAAACGCATAAAAACAGGAAAACGATTTTCTTAGGATGTATGGGTATAGCTCCTATAGGCGTAACGTTCTGATTTTCGTTATATTAAAGATTTTCGTCCCGATTTCCAACAAAATCAAGTTGATTATTCGGGTTATGTGTTGGTAGTTTTTTTTTCTAGCAAAAGGTCCATCCTGATTTTCGCCTGTACACACTGGAATCAGGAATAATTCTTGGTTCTCTGAGATTTTATTATAATATCGTCCACTGTGCGTTGTTTCTATTTATTATGACTATTTTATTTATGTTTTTAGAGTGCATTTAATAAAATTCAATGCATGTCATTATTTATTGCATGCATGGTATCTATTAAATATAATACTACTTTTTTTCTTTATACTTTGCCCTACATTTGCTAAGAGGATTTACGCTCATATTGCAATATTCAATACGATACTGCCATTATCATGTGTTTTTTATATGTTTTTTTTTTTTTTTTTTTTTTTTTTTTTGTTCAAAACTTTATTAATATAAAATTCTAGATTTAAATGTATAAAACAGCGGATCTGGTTTGGCGAGATTTAAATTTTTTGCATTTAACGTTTGTTTTTACAAATTTTACAGAATTTATGGGGCATGAAGAACCTGAAGTAGTTAGTAAGCAAAGAGAATAAACAGTAACCGGCAATGGGAAGTTTGCCCATAAATGCTAAGCTAAATTGGTAACGGAGTCATATGTTATTGACGTATACTTATATAAAAAAGTTTTTTTTTTTGTAACTGGGATTGACATGGAAAGATAAGCTCCTTAATAATTATTTTTTGGGACGGTCTTTAAAAATTTTTTTTATAACCTACCTTTGCCATATCAATATATAAATAAAATAATAATATTTTGTTGTTGCAATAATAATAAATTTCAATAATTGTCGATTTTCTTTCCTTATAGAGTTATGGCGGATTAAGAGTATGGTATGCCAACAATTAAAATTCAGATTATAGGTCCATTTTTGGTCTTTTTCTTTGCTTATCTTATAGCGCATTCGCATACAAAGTCCTTACTGGATACACCAATATTGACCAATCACAATACATTTTACGAATGTTTTAAGGCATATTTCCCAAACTTTCCTGTTCTCTCAAAGCAAACTTTACAATTCTCAAAATTTCAAACTCATGTCGCCAGGACATATTAGAAAAATCTATTTTATTCTGATCTCCGATTGGACAGAACTCCCTTTTTACTCCCGAGTAAAATTTGCGCAGGATCGGGAGTGCTTGGAGGGTGTAGTTTTATACCAAGTTTACTCTCTACTCGTATGTTTCATGTAGGAGCGCTCGCGAGTTATTCCTGTTTGAAAATTAAGTGCGGGAGTCGAAATACTCGACTTAGAGTACGATTTTACTCTAAGAGTGAAATCGAGTGGAAAAAATATGTTGTTTGCTTTTTATTTACATAAATTGTTACCGATGTTGCTGGACTGGAGAGGAACCCATACTTACACATTCAGCTTCGGTATGACAAAATCAAAAAAAAAAAAAACTCGGTAAGGGTAAAACTTGCCAGATTTCGAATGAATTTTGCTCCCAATCTTAAACATGCTCGCTCTTATCCGTGATATATTGACAAAATGAAGTATGTCTATTTTTTTTTTTTTTGTTTCTACTCTAAATCAAGGGAACAATTCGGAGGTATGGCCTGTAAAGACCATTTTCTAGATTGGCGCAATGAAATGGTGTTCTCCGAGGTATTTAAAATTGGACTAAATGCTAACATTTTTGTACCCTACACCACATACTGGTAAGGGTATTTTGTCTTTGAGCATTTGTTTGTAACAGTGAGAAGGAAGCGAGATAGACCCATAGTTACTTTTGAGGATCCTCATAAAATCACTTTCTGAGTCATTTTATGCATGTCCGTCCGTCTGTCCATGTATTCTTGTAAACAAAGTGCTGGTCGCATTTATTATCCGATTGAGATGGAATTTTCCAAACAAGTTATGTTGTGCTCAAGCACGAACCTTATCACGAAATTGGTGATAATCATATAAGATTTACATATAGCTTCCATATATCTTCAACCGATATCGGGTTATTTGTCCACCAAA